TGTACGCGGCGCCAAAACCCTGAGGCCCCAATCGGGCCATGGCCTCCGTCACGCGTACAACCTCACGCGGCTCAGACTGTGTACCGGAGTCTTCAGGTGCCACATCGTCGGTAATCTCCAGCCTATTATCACGATCACGGCGGATAATCAATACCCCCGGCCCCTCTGCACGGCTTGCCCACTCCCGGAGGCAACCGCGCCCATTTCGGAAGAACCGCCGAGTTCATCCTCCGACCCGACTCCGAATGACGGTGTCGCCGGAATCCCATCGTCACCACCGTCGTTCCCACCACCGGAACCACCGTTCCCATCTCCAGAACCACCACTCCCACCACCAGAATGATCAGTAGAAGTGTGCGAAAGAGGGGAGAAATTACCTTCTTCGCCTTGCACGACCTCGGCCTCGTTGTTGTTGATGCTAGACATGATGTTGACTCGAACCTTAGCAACAGCAGAAGGAGGATTGAGGTTGTAGAAGGAGGAGAGAAATCTCAGGGAAAGAACAATCAGGGAAAGAAGGATCGAGAAATTAGCCAACAATCGAAGGAAACAAGTGAAACTCCCTCCTCACAGCAGTCCCATATTTATAGTCAGCCAGGGGGAAAGCGAAGGGTTAAAGTCGGCCAACGGAATGCGAAGGGTTAAAGTTACATAGGGATCTGTAACCGTCAGATCCTACCAAATCTTTTCGAAATTCAAAAAATCCCCGCCCAAGTAGCCTAGTCACACAGCGGCACGTGGACACCTACCATCATAGGCACTAGTCGGCGACGCCACAAGTGCCGCGCACCGCCTGGGGGGCACGACACACCCGCGAGGGAGAAAAAACATGCCTCAAGCCGCGCGATCGGGACAACTTCAACCGCGCCCGTCGCGTGTGACTCGCATCATGACTCATCCTGCGCACAATGCCACAACGCATCGTAGCGCGCGCATCAGCCACAAGTACCGCGCACCGCCTGGGGGGCACGACACACCCGCGAGGGAGGAAAAAACACGCCTCGAGCCGCGCTATCGGGACATCTTCAACCACGCCCGTCGCGCGTGACTCGCATCACGACTCATCCTGCGCACAACGCCACAACGCATCGTAGCGCGCGCATCAGCCACAAGTGCCGCGCACCGCCTGAGGGGCACGACAAACCCGCGAGGGAGGAAAAAACACACCTCGAGCCGCGCTATCGGGACAACTTCAACCATGCCCGTCGCGCGTGACTCGCATCATGACTCATCCTCAACGCAAAAGTAGCGCGCGCATCAGCACAACGCATCGTCGACTCAAAGTGCCGTGCGCAACAAACGGAAAATCCAACGGAAAAGCCCAACTACAAGCGCGCTTAGAGTCCAACCTATCGCAACAAGCGAAGTGAACCCGAAAGACCCACCTCACGGAGATCACACAGGCCCGAGTCAGTCAAGCGGAAATCCAAACAGGTGGTGTTCACAGAACACCCCCTGATGGGGGGCAATTGTTGAGCATATGACTCGGGCCTTGCCATGCCGAAGGAACACGCCGCGCGAAGACCCTGAGCGCGACACCTAAGCGTGGTCCACCACGTCCCGGCACGAGAAGCTTAGACGCGGAGCGGGTCGCACACATGTTGGAAGACCATAGCGTGAACCAGACCAAAGGGATGTAGAAAGCGTAGCTTCCCTCCCCAAGGGGGTAGTCACATCAGGGCCCTAGGCATGGTCCTAGATAGGTCTCTGACACGTCCTAGGTAGAAGCATGGCCTAAATCCGTAGTCAGTCAATAGTCACATCATTGTATCCTCACATGAGTCAACCACTCACCCACCACCATGAATCCTATAAATATGGCATTTACTACGGTGGGTGAAGGGGATCGCATTTTGAGCATTCTATCTCTATAAATATCAAATTCTCTCTCTACGACTCCTTTCTCCCAATCTTATCCTCTCAATCTCGTTCCCTCGATCCCTGTTACCCGCGTGATCGTTGATATTCTCCTTTTGTTCACTCTTCTTGACCCACATCTTTCCCCGAACCTCACTCCTACACTCAGTTAGGTTCAAACAATAACTAATAACTTTAAATAATAACGATAAATTGAGTTTTTCTCTAGTCTCTCATCCATATCTCTACAGATCTACAGTCTCCGTAACACCCTGAATCTTTTTCCGGTGAAGACATTGTCCGTTTTAGGCCTTGACCCTCACGGTTTTGGACTTGGGGTGTAATTCAAGGTGACTTCCTATAAGGTCACCCATTATTGTGGTACTCCACATTGAACACGTTTAACTTCAGAGTTCTTGATTCGGTCCAAATTGTACATATTTTTTACCCCTCATTTCTTGATAGTTTGAATTTGCATTTCATCGTCCCTCAATCTATTTTACGCTAGGTTGTGCTTGTTTTGTTGTATTTCAGGTACTAATACGTGTGGGAAGGTCGATGACAAGTTTCGGGACGATTGGAGGTCGAAAAGCGCCAAAAAGTGAAGGAAAGTCCCGATTCGAGTCTAATTGTACACATTTTAACCCCGTTTTCCTTAGACGTTTGATGCATTTGTACTCCGTGAGGCGTGATTTTATGCCAGGTTGCACTTTGTTTTAGTATGTTTAAGATCCTAGCAGGTGAAACTGAAGGAGCGAAAACGAGTCAAAGGGTGGAAACAGTAGAGGATCACGGCGGATGATGAGTTTTCACGATCTTATGGACCGTGAAAAGGGCGCCCAGACCGTGAAGCGCTGAAGTTCTAGAAGCAAAATGCACACCTCACTGGATCCCAGTCAGTTCACGGTCGCAAGACTGTGAAGCGCCGAAGAGTCCAGAAGCAAAACACACAGCTCATTGGATCCCAGTCAGTTCGCGGTCGTAAGACCGTGAAATCAAGCCCCAGACCGTGAATAGACTAAGTGAAAAGGGTGTGGATTTGCTCGACATCACGGTCCAGGAAGGATGTTCTCGACATCACAGTCAAACATTAATTCCGTTAGTAACTCTGTATGCAGTGCTGAGAGTGATGTGGCTTCCATATTACTTTTTTGTCATAGATAGATCGTTAATAGATAGGACATTACAAATTGTTGAAAAGTAAAAGCGATAGTCAACCTAGTGTTGAGCTAACGATGCAAGGGTCGTTTTAGCAACGCAATAGGTAGCCTTGTTAGTATGACTAGGAGCATAAATAAACGGATAATGCAAATAAAGTCTTCATGCGACAAACTTCTTGAAGGACCAAATCATTTTTTTCTTGAAGCACAAGATCATTGAGGACAAACCTCACATCTCCAATAGATCGAGTTCCAATAGGACAACAGTAGAGTTTATGTTCAAGCTATCCCAAAAAAAAAAAAAAACACACACACACACATAAACAAACCCCTAAAGGGACAAAAACAATGTTCAAGGATCATCGGGCCTCCACCAGAGATGCTCTACAAGCCATATGAACTACTCCACCTGAAAGACGAAGCGGCCAAGCAAACCTAGCTCAACATAGCAAGCATCGCACTGTCATGCCAAGAGGGGATAAGACAAAGCCATGTGCCCTCCCCCGGTGCTTCATCAAGAAGGAGACAAAGTGAAGTAGTACATCTAAAGTGGAGAGTGAAAGACAACGAAAATACGTAAAGAATCATCAGAAACAACAAAAAAACTGTGACAATACTAACCTCATGACTAATTATTAAGAAAATCCGACACTAAAACAATAACGCAATTTGTTGTGCAAACTTATAATAAGGATCATTTGACACTCATATAATAAAAATTCAAATAAAACAACAATACAAGACTCCACCGACAAACTACCACAAAAAGTGAAAGGAGTTATAATGCAAGAAATTTTTAAAAAATAAGAATTACAAAGGATAGTAAACACGCAATGGAGTTAAACAAATAAAAAAATGTTAAAAAAAAACTATAGTTGAACTCTGTGCTTTTAATGGCGTTGACAGAGCGTAGAATAGAAGAGGAATGGACGACCGAGAGATAGAAGCTACGATTGATCGAATCTCCTCCGTTCTACCGTCAATGGCAGCAGGGGATTCGTTGGATCTTCGTAAGGGATGATTCCTCCACTGTCGTTGCTGGAGCGGTGGCCTACAACAAGCAAACAAAAATACTAATTTTTTATCTAGAATACCAACCCAGAACCCCATCTCCAGAACCCATCACAAATATCCCAAAACCCCCATCGAAAGAACCCAAACCTAGTCTTTCATCAGAGGCGACGAAAGCAGAATCGACGCAACAAATCAGACGAGATGGACTTTTTTTTTGTTGAAGATGAAGCATGGTGTGAGGATTCTACGTCGGAATCCAACACCAACATCCTTTCCTCACCCATCTTTCTTCTCGACACCGATGCTTAAGGAGAGATCTCGACATCTTCCGAGGTCTTGTCCTTTGAGTTTCTTTGGTCGGCAAGTCGAAAAACGTCCGACAAAGCGACGATTTTCCCAGATCCAGGTGGTTGTAGAACAAGGCGAGCTAGATCTCAACACCAGTGTTTCATCGTCGGTTCCTATGCCCCGTTTTTTCCGCCTCCCAGCTGTTGCATCTAGTCTAGTGAAGACAAACAATGGAACCTCTTTCGCATCTGCAATTTCTTCCTCCCACAGATAATTTATTTTGGTAATTAATTAATTTTTATTAAATAAACAATATGATAAATCATATACACAAAATAGGTGGAATGATGAGGTGAAATAATAAATTTATTTTTTAATTTATTTTAATTTTCACGTTATCCAGTTAATGATCAAATTTTATAGTTGACTGCCACCACGTAGGACAAATTTAAGGGAATATAACTAGTGGTGACTGACGATGAAACAATTCGTAAAGTTAATGGCTGGTAAAAAGGAAAAGTATTTCGAATGACAAACCTGAAAAATTTATATAATTTGATAGACCGTGGATTAAGTATTTCGAATGACAACCATATAATTTAACCTCTATTAACCCTTTGAAAATACAATTCTCAGAAAATAATAAAATAGATATTTTCCTGGTCTGAAACTTGGAGATGCTCTTCGCGTGCAATCCCATTCTCACGTGGTACGATATGATGGCCGTGGATCTCTCTATAGTTTTAGTGTTGCAGAGAGCTACAAAAGTCGCCGGAGACAGAGTCACCGCGTTACTCTCAGCTCCGCAATTAATAAACCAGAAACCTAAGCTACCGGCGTCCCCTCCATTCCAATTTCAGTAACGAACACAGAAAAGAAAAGCAAGCTGTACTACTCTCTATTCTGTCTCTTCCATTCATTTCGCTGCATCTAAAACAGAGGTTTTAGCTGCTACCCCTTTTTCTCCCCCAATCCCCATCCAATCGAATCGATCTTCCTGCTCTGATTCAAGAATTCGCCACCGTTCAGCTCCAATGGCGAAAGGCAGATACTCTCGGTTCCCGTCTCGAAAATCCAATTCATCCACCATGATTTTCACCATGCTCCTCATGTTCACCTTCGCGATTCTCATTCTCCTCGCCCTCGGAATTCTCTCGATTCCTAGCAATTCTGGCGACTCCAGGAGAGCGCACGATCTCAGCACCATTCTCCACAATCAAGTGAATAGGTCATTTCTACTTTCCTCTTTGTTTTCTTCCGTCTCCTCCGTTTCCGTTTTCTCTTCTTCGTGACTGACCATGATAGTCGTCTTGTTTGCGTTTGTTTTTCGTTCTTGCATCTGCCTCTGTTCGTGCGGCTCGCAGCAGCGCCGAGGAGGAAAGGAAACCAGAGCCTTGGGCTGAAGTCATCTCCTGGGAGCCTCGTGCCTTCGTCTACCACAATTTTCTCGTGAGTCTTTGCATTCGGGTTCTGAATTTCAGTTGGGTTTGCCTCCGTCGTTGAATTCTGATGTCCGTCTGCCAAATCTGCAACCTGCAATTAGTTCCTTGATGGATTTAGAGTGTTTGCCCATCTTCTTTCTTTTGCTTCATTCTCACTTGAATGCTCAAACCCTGTGATACTGATATCTATTGTTAGTTGCCACTGATTTGGTTGATCAATCCTCGCGTTGCAGAGCAAGGAGGAGTGCGAGTACTTGATCAGTCTTGCGAAGCCTCATATGGTGAAGTCGACAGTTGTTGATTCAGATACTGGAAAAAGCAGAGATAGCAGGTTTTTAGTCATTTACTTAGTGTGTACTTTCTTTCTTTCTTGCTTGCTTGCTTTGACGGTCTAATTACCTGGCCCTTCCTTTTGGCCTGCTGGTGCTGCTACTTTCCTTAAGTTGCTATGCATTTGTGACCTCAGAGTTAGAACAAGCTCAGGGACATTCTTAGCTAGAGGACGGGACAAAGTCATCAGGGACATTGAGAAACGGATTGCTGACTTCACATTCATACCTGTAGGTAAGGCAATTGGACCTCACCTATCATTCTGTTCTGTGGATTTTGTTCTCTTTCGTTGATTCTTGGTCTTATGGAATGTACCAATATGCATGCAAGTCTGGTTGAGCCTGTCTTGTTTATGTTTACGAATACTATGGCTATGTTTGTGATTTGAATCTGGAATGCCGAACTGACTAGAGAGGACGATATAAGGTTGGAAACTAGTGATTGATAATGGCAATTGGAATAATTTTGATTACTCAAGTGAAAGCAAATATGCAGAACACGGGGAAGGGCTTCAAATCCTTCACTATGAAGTTGGGCAGAAATACGAGCCTCACTTTGACTACTTCATGGATGCTTACAACACCAAGAATGGGGGACAACGCATAGCTACTGTTCTTATGTATCTGTAAGTGAGACGGTCTCTTCATTTTCTATGTTCGGGGTATTTTTTACTTAAACCTCTTGCTAAAAGTTTGGCTTGCAATAATCCTTGTTGTGCACAGGTCCGATGTTGAAGAAGGTGGGGAGACAGTTTTCCCTTCTGCAAAAGGGAACTACAGTGCTGTCCCATGGTGGAACGAGTTATCCGAATGTGGGAAGAAAGGGCTTTCAGTCAAACCTAAGATGGGCGACGCATTGCTTTTCTGGAGTATGAAACCTGATGCCAGTCTGGACCCTTCAAGTTTGCATGGTTAGCGTGATCACTTGGGCCTGGCCATCGCCTTATAGTTGAGCATGATTGCAGGGCGACTCCATGAAAAGTATACTCGCCAAAATGATTCGTTCATATTTGTTTCTTCTCTTCAGGTGGTTGTGCTGTGATTAAAGGGAATAAATGGTCATCAACCAAGTGGATGCGAGTGAATGAGTACAAGGTTTGAAATGTGAGATGATAAAGGTAAAGCCAGCCCTGTCTTCTTAACTCTTGCCTTGTTGGCTGTTGCTGCTATTTCCTCTTATCAATGAGAACCGTAGGCATTGTGATCATTTCACTGCTTTAACTCTATGGTAGTTCTTTTATTGTCACAGGGAACGGTGTAAAATCATGTCTTCTGGCCTGCGGGTTGAAAGCTTGAAGGTTGATAAGTTTTGAAGAGAACCTGCAATCTTACAATATGCAGCAGACCTGTTCCTGCTGTCGAACATGACATCCCACGATTGGGAGCCCCTTTCACACTGTGGCCATAAGAATAGGTTTAATGCGCTTTATTAGAGTTTGGAGCAGAACAGATTGGAGACGATTTCACAGTTCGAAAGCATAACTGACTGGGTGATTTTTGTGTTGATAGTTACGTAATCCATAAGTTTTGAAACTGGAAGTTTTGTGTTGACAATTACGTAATCCATAAGAATAGGTTTAGTCTTTAATTCGATTGTCAAAAGGAAGGTTTTCAAGAAATATGTAATTGAAGAATGAACCCCTCGTACTGGGGAAATCCATTGGAGACCTTGGAGTCGGTAGATGAGATGCAAACATCAACAATTTATTGTTAGAGGCCTAATGATCACAAAAATATTCACTTTATACAAAACGATTACAAATTTTTAATTTTGCACGGGGTTAAAGACACATTTGGTCACTGAGATTATAAAATCGGGACATGTTTAGTCACCAGAAAAAGTTAATATCAAATTTGGTCACTACAATTACTAAAACTGGACACATTTAGTCACTCGCCGTTAGTCTCCGTCCAACTCCGTTAATGAAGTCCGTTAAGTGCTGATGTGGCAAAAAAATTGCCTAATCAGCTGGATATAACCCAACAAAAATAAAACCCGACCCGCCACGTCATTAAAATCAACCCAACCCAACCCATGACCCAACCCCACCCAACCATTCTTCCTCCTTCCTCCCACCTCGGCACCTCCCACCTCCTTCTTTCCCCAAAACCGCCGCCGCTCTCCTCCTTCCTCCCACCTCCTCCCGCAAACCTGTTCGACCTAACCCAACAGAGCAATCCTTCACCATCCCTCACCAAATCTGTTCGTCTCCTCTTATACATTTCTTCCCCCAAATCCCAACCCACCCAAAAAAACCAAAAAAACCCCTTTCCCACTTCTTTCCTCTCAGCCTCATTTTCACTTTTACTCCTCACAACTACCATCACTGATCTCTCCAGGAGCAATGGTGTCTGAACATCAATCGTCTCCTCCGACGAATCAAAACCCTAGCTTCAATTCCAAGAGGGCTTATCATGTAGGAGGAATCCCAGTGGAGTTCCCATACCAGCCGTACGGAACGCAGCTGGCGTTCATGGGTCGGGTCATTTCGACGCTGGAGCGAGCCCAGAGGGAGGGGCACTGCCATGCTTTGCTCGAGTCTCCGACGGGTACCGGGAAATCTCTGTCGCTCCTGTGTTCGACTCTGGCATGGCAGCAGACCCAAAAACTGAAGAATCAGTACGCGAATCTTACCCACTCCAAACCCGATCCTGAGGCGATGAGCGATCCTTTGGGTCATGGCGGTGGGTTCGTCCCTGAAACGCAGCCTTCGAGTAAGCGAAGTGAACATTTGCAAGATTGTGGGTGAATTCCCAATAGTGGGATTTAGCACTTTCTTCTTCTAGGGTTTTGATGAAATCGGGTTGACGATGGATGTTGTTTTTAGGAAAGAAGGGTTGGGTGGGGTTGGGTCATGGGTTGGGTGGGGTTGGTTTTAATGACGTGGCGGGTTATAATGACATGGCGGGTCGGATTTTATTTTTGTTGGGTTATATCCGGCTGATTAGGCAATTCTGTTTGCCACATCAGCACTTAACGGACTTCATTAACGGAGTTGGACGGAGACTAACGACGAGTGACTAAATGTGTCCGGTTTTAGTATTTGTAGTGACCAAATTTGATATTAACGTTTTCTAGTGACTAAACGTGTCCCGATTTTGTAATCTCAGTGACCAAATATGTCTTTAATCCATTTTGCACGTTTCACTAACATATATTCGGACTAATAATAAAATGACAATTCCGTCCATCTCCATTTCAGTCAACACGCCGCGTCAGTTAAGATATTAATTAAGAATTTAAGATATAAAAACCCTAATTTTATACCCTGTAATTGGGTCGGCGTTACTTACGCCGGGAACAGAACAGAGTTATCGAGGAAGAAAGCAATACCGAGTCCAAAAAATGTTGTCGTCTTGACCGCCGGCAGCTTCGTTTAGAAAGGGGGATTAATAGGAAGAGTAGATCGGGGAGCCAGATGAGAAGGACCATAGAAACTTCCCGGAGATGGGAGCGGATCAGGTCAGTAATCTTATGGCGAGTAACCATGAGTAACCCGTTCATATTAGCATGACATTTGCATCCCTCTCTCTTGGAAAGTTTTTTATCTTTAATTTTTAACAGGCGATTTCTCTCTCATTTTAAGTCGGAATTTAAATTATTTTGCACAAATAAATCAGATTAATTGTGCCTTTAAAATGATAACCATTTTGATATATTTTTAGAATAAAAATATTGTGTCATTTTTTACCGATCAATATCATATGGTATGCTCCTATTTAATACCATATAGTAAGAAAACGTACCATGATGATATGAACATACCAATATTGTAGGAAGGTTGAATACATGATAGTAGGAGTATACTAACTGTCATTTATGACTTTCATAATTGTTTACCACAAGTTAGCACCCACATACCAGAGTGGTAAAGTATGGTAATTTTTGGTCATGTATTTTTTTCACCCAAAAATTGGTAGATCCAATATATCATGAAGAACTCGTTCCTTCTAAGCAAACATTTTAAAAAACTACTTGAAACGAAGAAGTTACCATATGGTATGTAGTTGGTAACAGGATGTATGAAAAAAAGTTTCTCAAAATATATTGAAAATTGATCTCATTTTGTAGAGCACAACGAACTCATTCCATCTGTGCAAAAAAAAATTGAAATCCGAGTTAGAACGAAGAAGATAAGAGTCGATTAAGAAAACTAGGAAAAATAAAATGCTTTTAATTCACAACCCTTAGATCTGTATTTTCAGGGCCAACTTAAATTTAAAGGTTCAAATTTAGTTACCCAAAAGTCAGTAACCATTTAGTTACTCAAAAGTCAGTAACCAATGGTTACTGACCGTATCCGAAACTTTTTCATATGGGAAGGTCAGCCTCGGGTGAGTGGGTTAATTACTTAATTGTTCATTTGGTAATTAATTTTTTATTAATATTTTAAATGATGTGTCGTGCTGACTCGACGATAGTAATGGTTTTTGAATGGATATGGACGGAATTACCTTTTTATTATTAGTTCAAACATATGTTACTAAAATAGTTAATATCTTAGTTAGACCCAAAGTTTAGCGTGAGTGACAGCTTTGACCCCATTTTCAAATAAGACATTTGCGGCGTACTTTTAAAATTATTAGACAGATTTGGTCCGAAACTTGTGTTAACTGTTAATATTAACGGTCAAACACTTTTTCTGTTAGTGACTCAGAAAAAAATGTTGATGTGGTTATACATGGTGTCATGTCATTAAATAATATTATTTTAATTTTTCAATTTAATTAAAATTAACAAATTAAAATATGGATCTTATCACAACTCCACTTCCTCCTCTTTGTTTCGACCTAAATCAACTTCCTTCATTCTTCTCGAATTCAAAAAAGCTCCATTGTTCTCTTCCATCTCCAATCCTCCGCTACCAGCACCCGGAGGTTGAAATGTGCTTCGCCCAAAACAAAATTGGAGCTCCAGACTCCAGTTGGAGTAAATGATCTATTCTCCCTTGGCACCCCGACGGCGGTTCCAACCCACAAAATCACTCTCCATGAACGGATCCAGCTTCTCCGCAATGATCCCTTTCTCTCCGTCGCCGCTTCCTCCACCCCCCGCCGTCGACAACAAAGCGAAACTATTCTCATCAGTCATCGTTGATTTACCGACCCTCGAAAACCCCGCCTCTTCCGACAAAATTTCTATCTCCATGACAGCTTCCGCCGCAAACGCCATCGCCAAACAAACCCTCATCGTAAAAATTTGCCCCTTGCCGGCCGCAATCGGCGTCGCCATCGGGTTCGATTTGGACACCCCCAGCCGCCGCAACCTTTGATGGAAAACATCCAAGGTACCGGGATTGTGCGAAGCCCCGTCACACGACGACGACGTTGGTGGTGATTTTCCAATTCAGTTGCGGCTCCGCCGCAACCAATGTCGTCCTAGAGGTACGACTGTTGGGATTCCGCCCTTCATCTTGCAATTGGGATCGGAGTTCTACAAAATCCTTTTGATTTTACCCTTTGCTTTATGAAATATGTCGGGTTGAACTTTTTTTGCAAGATCAGTACATATAGCACACAACGAAATCGCCGGCGAGATTGAGAACTCGAGTGAGAGAGCGCCAACCTAGTGTTGCCGGTAGATGCGCCTGCACCCCTAAGCAAGGAGAGGAAAGTTGTAGGCATTCATTCCACCTGCCGACCCAAGATTGAAAGAATCCAGATCTGGTGCTTTGCACCTTTCCACGACGAGCTTCCTTCTCGAGATTCACTCTCTTCAACGAATCGACGCGGTCTCTGAACAAGTCAGTGACGGCGACTGCATCTGATCCGCCATCGCCATGGCCAATACAAGTTCTTGCTTTGGTTGCTTTGCCGCTGCCCGCTGGAGAGGAAGAAGGGTGGTTCAGAGTCTCTTCGGACTCAGTATCGCTGGTGGTTCATAGACCCGATTCTGCAGTGGAGGCGGTAAATGCTTCAGATTTTGGAATCTCTTCGTTTCTTGTTGGGGGGAGGGGGAGGGGGTGGTTTAGCCTCCAGTCGCTTACGCCAGAGTAGAGGAAGAAGGGGATGAACCCGTCGGGACGAAGGCGGCGGGAGGAAGAGATGAGGGTCGAAGGTTTGGGGTTTGGGGATTTTTTTAAATTTGTTATTATTAATTGGAGGAAAAAATTAAAAATTATTATTATTTAATGACGTGGAAAAAAGAAACAAGCTAATAACATGAGAACGGCCTCGAAGTCACACGACTCAAAGGGGTTGAATAGGGGATAAAATATTTCGGGACAATCAACTTTTGGACGTGGACTAATCATATGCCTCCATCATACTCACTAACAACAACGGCTAATATTACTCGCCATGGTATGAGAGATCTATCACACAAGAAAAAAAAAACGATTGACACAAATCTCACATGGCTACTTAATCGCCAATCATCTATTCCAATTTCCCATATTTCGATGCATGGCAATTGTAATCGAAGAATAATCAAGTCAAGATATCCATTCATTTCTGCACGCATAAAACTAAACATTCGCACCAACATAATGAAATTCTCAATCATCATAATAGGATGTACTCGATCACAAGTAAACAATCCAAGATCAATGCCAATAAACAAGAGATCCTCCAAGCCCTCAAATTTTTAAAATTTGGGCATACATCAAGGCTCCAAGTAATCAATCACACGCACAAGACCCATTCTTCTTCTTTCTCTTTGCAAAGAGCCACAAATGGGTCCTTCTCCAAAAGTGCATCGAGGTCGGGTGGAAAGCTTTCATAGCACTTGTAACTTGTGGATGCTTCATCCAC